CGGCTCGCCCGTCGCCGCCTCCTTGAGAAAGCCTCCGCGAGGCGTGGATGCGTCGTTCCTCTCGAAAGTATTCCTCTGGGTGACGAGACGAGTCAGCCGGAACAAATTTCTCCCCAAAGAGGGGAGTTTTCCCGCCTTGAATCACGGGAACCGATTGTTTAATCGTCGGGAAACGACAACTCTTGGATATTCCCTCTGAAAGCCTTGAAGAGAGAGAGAGAAAAAAGGTCTTCTTTTCTCTTTCATTTCATTTTCTTCCTCATTTCTAATGCAGGAAGGATCTTCAGAAAAGAAGAGATCCCGTGACCATTGACACAATCCAATTTTCGTATCGAAAGGGATCTTTTCGATATGACTTTTCCTCGTGCGAGAAACAAGATATAAGGGGCTGGCGAGGCTCTTCAGGGCGTTTTCAATTCCTCGTTTCTTAAAGCGATTCTGAATCGAGAATCGGATCTGAACTCTTTGAACGCGATATGTGATTTTTGTAACGCGCGATAATTTAATCTGCTCGCATTAAATAGAAATTGCAAGAAATAATTTGAGTCAATATCGAGATAATTCTCGATATTCTTTCTCTTTTCCTCCTTTTCAAAAGAGAGATTTTCTATAATTTCTTATAGTATCGGAGTATATATATACTTTTTTCTTTTTTTTCTTCTTTCTCGTTTTAATAAGATAAATTATATAATTACAGTTCAAAATATATGGAGGCAAACGTTTAGTTTCGAAGCGTCATCAAAATTCTACGAATGCATCGATTCGCAAATTGACCGTAATTACTTTGTGCTGCCAATCAAGTAGTGGCTTTGAAAATATTGGAAAATTAGGATTACATAATCCGAATCATGGTCTACCGTATTTCATTAAAAGCTAGGTGAAACAGTAGCCGCCATTAGCCAACGGCAATCAAACCTCTTCAATAATATTTGCACCGAAAGGCGTGCAAAACTCGTGCATGACGAAAATATCCGAAAATCTGATTTGCATTTAGAATCATAGATTTTAAGTTTTCGTTTATTACGTCATAATTTGTTCGTCGATCGACGAATAAATAATAACAAGTTTTATCGTACAAGAGTTACGATATATCAAGTTACAAGAATTGGTTATCCAATGAAAGAGAACACAGAATCGAGCAATTAAACGAAACAAACGAATCGAGAGAATTTATTGCTCCGACAAACCGGAACAACCACGGATCGAAGTTCTCCATTTCCTTGGTCGCAAGACACGTTCAGAGGAGAAATCGGGAATTGAATTACGCGACACGGGGAAATGGAAGACCTTAGAGCGTCGACAAACTACAAACGCCTGTTATTATTATTCATATTACGTCGCCCTCCACTTCCGGTTCCTCGTTGTTCCTCCGCTTCTTCCCTCGTCTTTTCGATCGAACGTCAATTTTTTTCTTGGATTTTTCTTTCTTTATTAAAAGAGTATATTTGGAAATTATTTTTAGAGAATTCGTATTCTTATTTCCAACTAAAAATATGGAAAAATTGTTGACGATAAAATGACGTATTCATATTGTTAATTATTTTCGAATCTATATGGAAAATTTCGAAAAATTTCATTGCCACTGTTACTGAATATCTTCTTTCTACTTTTAGATTACTCGTGTATTTAGATATTCTTGGGGAATAATCAAGGATGCGCCGTGGCAGGGATAAGTCGAGTTTCTGCACAGGTACTTTGCTCGAGAGTCAGTTTAAACCTCGAAAGATTTGAAGAGGAGGAAGTTTCTTAGTAGGGTAAACGTTTTTAGCGGCAGTTATCCTTTTTTTTTTCGAATTCTTTCTTTTCTTCTTGGAAAAAGGTTAAGACATTAACATGACAGAAAAACGTGGGCGTTCTCCCGAGATAAATCGGTCTCTCGATAATTCTCTC